GAAATGGAAGATTGAGAGAACTATTGTTAGTGGGTATAGAATTCAGTTTTGCAAGATGGAAAGAGTCCTAGAGATTGATTGTCCAATGTGAAATGTACTTAAAACTACTGAACATGCACTTCAAAATGATTATGATGGTAAAATTCATGTCACGGATATTTTACTACAGTAAAAATCTTATTACATAGTGTTATAATGCAGCTTTAAAATCTAATCAAATTCTACATTCAAATATAAGTAATGTTTTGATCAAAATAATGCAAATTTTATAGGTAATATAACTCATAATGATATATACTCAGAACAAAGTTAAAGTTGTTTTTTGCTCTTGAGGAAAATGTTAAGGAAACTATAATACAAGCAATACAAGTAAGCATTTATCATTAAATATTAAGTTAAATTTAATAGTGAGAAAAATCATGTAAAATTCAGGAATTAATGATATCAACAAACAGAATCCTGAACAAAAAGAGGGGAGGCTTAATATAAATAATTATGTTAATTTTGTTATTCTATAAAATTAATATTTATCAGTAGTTGCATTTGATATTGAGTTAATATTAATACATGATTACAGTTGGAAAAGGGGGAAAATATACTCAAAATGTTAAAAGCAACATCCTGGGGTTTGGTTAAGTTTGTTTTCATGTGGATTCTTTATTTAAATGCCTCCACTTCCTTTTTTGTTTTCCTTCAAGACAAAAGCATTTTACATTGACTCATGAATGTAATAGTTTTACTAATAACTTCTATGCACAAATAATATGTACTTGACAGTGTGTAACATCAATGAATGAAGTAGACATGTCCCTGACTGACATGCAATACCATGGACAATACCAGATACCAATACATATAAAGACATTTGGGAGGGAACAGCATTGGATACAAGGAAACAATACTGAAGAATACTATGGTGGTTCTTGGCTACCAGGACTTAGTGACGTAAATACACAGACTGGGAAATTTGTTTCAATCACAATGCTACCAATTTTGTGAACTTAGGCAAGTTTATTTAAAGTAACAAATGCAAACCTCTCAGAGTTCAATTGTAGCCTAAATTATAATTTCTGAAGAGCTTCTTAATTCTTATCTTCTTCAGTCATTAACCAATACATAATCTTAGCTGCACACCCCCGCAAAACACGGCAGGCTTCTTAGTTCATTTACAAAGACCACTACTTATTGTAAGCTAATGCAAATATTTAAAGAAATTAAAAGAGTGTTTTTAGTT